CTCTTCTGACTGAGCAGCATTATATACCATACAGGCAAAATCATACATCACTGACGCGCTGCTGCAAAGAATTAGATGTTTTACTTCAATCAACTCCATGGACAGAAAGATGTTTCAGGCTCAAGATCAAGTTAGAAGATTGAGTAGCTCTCAAATCTTTTCAAGCATCATTTGCTTTTGTGAATTTCCCTTTCCTGAATCAATGGTTTTGATTAGGAATTGTCTTCTTCCACAAACAGATTTTGCTCTCTTTTCACATTTTAACTTCTTCTGAATTTAGCTCACCAGTAAGTTTTTCTGGTATCATCCAACACATTCAGAAATTGATCTTGGCTCCAGCAGCCTAACTACCAGCACTTTCTAGCTTCCAGTGTTAGATGTATTAATATTCTCTTGAATACTATTATTCAACTGTATGTTAGTATACGAATAACCCAGAGGGGTTTCAGCACACTTCAAAGTTACTCAGAATTACAGACTGTCTTGTTGGCTATTCACTTGTCAAGCATGTAATTGCTTTTGGTAAGACATACTTTGGAAATTAAATAGATACTCAGCAGAAAAGCTTTAACTATTGCCTTAGCATTTCTAACAAGTTAAAATGATGTTGTCAACTTTTATTGAGTTTATCTTTTTTTACCTTGCAATTGGTTGTAATTTTTTTCTTCAGCCTTGAGAAGATAACTTTGATTTTCTTCTTTTCTGTCTGGTGAAACTGCTCTTTCTTGGTTCATATTGAGCTGAAAGAATCAGCACTGGTTTTAGCTTAAAACACCCTCTACTCTGAGGCTGTGCTTACCCTGCCAGAAATACTGTCTGCTCAGTAACAGTGTTATTGTGGGAACAATCGCCTTCAGTCTGAACTGTGGTCAAAGTTAGCTTGGCCCAACCTGAAGGAGGTGAAAGAGAGGCAAAAAAGGCCATGGCCACCTCTGCACCTCTCAGAGTCTAGAAATGAGGAACAGCCCAAGAACAATTTGAGAAGCCTGTGACACCTACACAAGCATGTGCTGTGCCGTGATGGCTCTCCTTCTACATGTGAGCTCTCAACACTTCTTTTCTCTCTTCAGTCTGTATTGGTCACGCTCTTGCAAATCTCTGCATCAGACGCTTTGGACAGGTGATACCATCACAGCCATTCCTACCAGCCAACTGCCTAACATGGTGGGATACCTATAGAGGCTCCACTGTCAAACATGGGCTGTGCTGAAAGCAGGACCCAGTCCAATACAGCGTCTGTGGCATCCTCCAGAATTCAGTTGTAAAAATACAAAAGGCACATAAGGGCTCCACAAGAAATTCAGCTGAATCAGACTTGTTTCAATCTATGAACACTGCTACTTGAGGCACCCTGGTGACAATACGGATGTAAAATCATACTGTGCTCTCTAATGGCACAGGATGCTTCAAAAGGCTTCCAAGAACCCATCTACTGAGAACTCGCCAAGCTAAGTAGCATAGGTTCCTAGAAAGTCTTATAATAAAACAAGCCAGCAGTAGCATGGACACAGAGCAAATGTGCTTGAAACAAACCAGCACAGTTAGTGTGGCATACTGAAGATTGCCACATGTATCGATTTGCCAAGCTGGCTAAAATTCAAGTTATTTAGCTTCTCTGGCATAAGTGTATTGTGCACACTGATAACACACCCACTCATGCACTTAGTACACTGCTGCTATAGAACCAAAGTGGCCACAATAGGATCCTGCATGTATCCCTGTGAAAATAAGAGATCTTGGCAAAACTGCAAATACAAAAAAAAAAAAAAGAAAGAAAAGAAAAGAAAAGAAAAAAAGCTATATTAATCACCATCAGGTTAAACCAGTTGAAGTGGGTTAGATGTTGAAGATACTTCGTAACTTCCTGTTAAAATAAGAGCATCAATTCAGACTGGATTTTGAAAATGGAGCCCCTACTAACATCAGTAATACGCATGAAAACCAGCTTTCAAACTGTCTTACTGCCATGCAAAATACACAAGTCACAGAACTATGTTTTCTTCTCCATTTTATTTTCAAAGTATTTACAGACCATTCCCTAAGCATTAGAGAGCCAGGAACTCCATGCATAAAAAGCATTATCTTTTCAAAGCTATAATCATTCCACAAGGTTAAAGAAATTCTCGAGCAAAAAAGAAAAGGAATTTGTGTGGACTTACAGGCAAGAAACACATTTTTTGCTTCCTAATTTCATTCTGTGCTTGACACCACAGCATCCAGAATGTGGAGAGAAAGCACTGGTAACATGTAGACAGTAGCAACAATTCAGTAATCATCAGATTGCTGCACAATCTCTTCATCTTATCCAAGATTGCTAAGTTTTAGTCCTTGTGTTATCATCTTTCTTACAGAAGAACAGCTGTAACATTATCTTCTATTTCCTTTGTACAATTTCCATAGCTTATTGATGTCACCTATTAGAATTATTTCATGCACATGTACATTCAATCAAATTTTTTTTTAGCTTGTAAGCACTGCAAACAGCCCTTAACATTACAGTAACTGATGAAATGTTTCTTTCTTGTTCTCTCTTGTTATCATTTACTTCTTGGTAAATGGGATTGAGGAAGAAAGAGAAAACAGTAACGTTCCCTCTTCGTAACCACAATCATTCAGAGGCCCAGTATGCAATTTAGTGTCATATATGTCTAACCCAAAAGACCTTACCTTTGTCTTCTGCCAGCATAATGGTTCTCCTTCTTGGTAAGACCACAGTCCCACCAGCCACGTTAACACTAATGTGGGAATGTTTATAGATTTAGCATAAGGAATTCTTTTCAAAGAAAGATACTGCAAACACTTCTTACTAGAAGAACTGAATGTGAATACAAATGGATCCATGGATATAGTGGAAATTACTGTCTGAGAAGAGATAAAGGAGAGGTGCAAAAATATTTAGCTCTCCGTATTTTACTGGCTGCAGGAGTTAAATCTAGAACCAACCTATCCAGGTTATTTCTACACACTGCAGCACAAACGTTTAGTTTTCTTAGGGAATTATTTGAGAAAACAACACTACTGTGATACCTTATTGAAAGAAGTTAATTTGCCCAAAGCTCCTTGGACACCTGAGGTAACTTCCACTGATGTTATTTGCAGGCAAGCTGGAAAGCAGAAAAATGTAAGAAGGCGAAGCTGAAAGAGTGCTAAGGGAAACTAATTTACATTATTTTAACTTCTGTTAAAGTCACCGCAGAAAGCCACTAGCTTAAATTCTGATGAATTTGATATTGAACATCATGGATAAAATATTATTTTATGTAAAGTATGCGAAGTATTACATAAAATTACATAGATTTACAGAAAAATATGTAAACTTTACATGTGCACCAAAACCTGAAATTTCAGCACAAATAAGCACGCTTGTGCTAGCTGTAAGAGTCACACGTCATAGCTGTAGTGACACCACAGCAGGACGGAGAGCAGAGAGGACTAGGTACCTCTAGTCCATAAAAGGAACTGTTCTTCCCACAGCGGTGAAAGCAAAAGGATAGACTTTTAGCTAATCAGCAAAACATGAGTCTACCATCTTAGGACTACAGGTTCATTTGCAATGTAGACACACGCTCAAAAGAATGTCATTTGTCTCCTGAAAAGGTACTCCAGATCCACAGGATGGTCTGGGAACAACCCAAGCCAAGAGAAGGCAGCAGAGAACTGTTTGAGTACCTGCTGAACTGAATTCATAGTGAGGGACAACTCTGAGGTCTCACGCGCACAGTATGAGAGCTCAGCAGGTGCAGGTAGCCATGCTCAGTCACATTCAATTACGTCTCTTGCTACCGAGGTTCATTTCTAAAGGCAGCTGATGGCCATTAATGAACTGGAAGAAATTCGGTGCCTTTTTAAATAGAAACTTTAGGATCTGATATTGTTCCACTGTAACCTAGAACAAAATGATTCCTAATTTTTACTGTCAATTTAGGACTCTGTGGATGCTAATAACTTACACAGGTTAAAAAAAATGACTAGACAAATAAATGGGGGGGGGGGGGGCATTGGGGGCTATCAAAAATGAAGGCAACAACTCCACCATAAAATGTTGTCAAGGTACGAGTTTTTGCAGGATGAAACTCTATGTGAGGAGGTATCACTACATGCCATCTTCCATGCTCTTTCCTAGCCATCCGTCATTATTCACTGCCGTTACTGGAATTAAGCTGACAAATCGCTCCATGGACTAAGAATAATTATGTGCCACAGAAATGAGAAATAGCATATCCATCCGTTAATCCTCTCCGTATCTGGACGGAGCAAGGTTTCCTGCGCTGAGCCAAATGAAGGCACCAGCTCTGACCCTGGCAGCTCTCTGCCGTCGATTTCTTTCGAACTTCTGCTTTTGAGCCGTACGTCTCCCAGATCCCTCCCTGGGTCGCTGGGGCAATGCCTGGAGGTCTCTGACAGAGAGGGCGCAGGGCCAGCCAGACTAGCGGTCTCAGCCGCGGCGCCCACCCTGAGCGGCCCGCTGTTGGCACTGGCACTAGGCCCTGCTTTCTCCCCAGAACTTACCCGCCCTAAAGAACCAGGTACTCCGCTAGGGGCCCGATGTGCCCTTCCACCACGATGTTACCACGGTTTTTAACGGCAAGGAGCTGTTAATGCTAACAATTACCATTAGCTACCACTCCCAGGACACCACCACGCAGCACCGCGAGCGAGCGAGCGGCGCTACCGCGGGCCCGCGCAGGTCCGCCTGGCTGGAAGCGCGCATCGCTGCCTTAGGAAAAGGCGAAGGCAGCTCCCGACAGACCCGAGCACTTCGCTTGGCCAGAGGAACCGGGACTTGTTCCTCCTTCCCGCGAGCTGCGAGAGCCGACGAGCAAAACCGCGGCGGCCGGGACGGCAAGGGGCCGCGACCCCGGCACCCCCGACGACGCTCTCGGGACCCGCTGCCGAGAGAAACAGCCGGCAGGGGCGAGGGCGCCGCCCGCGCGGGCCGAGGGTCCCAA